TAATGGAGCACCCAGGGGACCTGATGGGGGGATATTGGGGGGCACCCAGGGGACACACTGGGGTGTAACAGGGCACCCAGGGGACACAATTGGGGGACATCACAGGGCACCCAGGAACATGATGGAGGAGTAATGGGGCACCCAGGGGAGCTGATGGGGCACTGGGATGAAACGGAGGGACACGATGGGGCACCCATGGGACACGACGGGGGGACAACAGATGGGGCACCCAGGGGACACGATGGCAGAGCGGGGGCACCGGGGGCGGCGCGGGGGAGGATGGCGGCGGCACTGCGGCCGCGGGGAGGGCTGGGAGGGCGGTACCGGGACACGGGGCGGTACCGGGACACCGGGTCATACCGGGACAGGGGACGGTATGGGGGACGGTACGGGGACACTGAGCGGTACTGGGACACGGGGCGGTATGGGGGACGGTACGGGGACACCAGGCGGAACCGGGACACCGGGCACACTGGGACACCAGGCGGTACCGGGACACCAGGCGGTATTGGGACACCGGGCCGTAACGGGACACCGGCTGGCACCGGGACATCTGGCATACCGGGACACCGGGCGGTACCGGGACACCGGGAGGTACTGGGACACCGGGCGGCACCGGGGCACCGGGTCATTCCGGGACACGGGACGGTACCGGGACACCGAGAGGCACCGGGACACCGGGTCATACCGGGACACAGGGCGGTACTGGGTCACCGGCCGTACCGGGACACCGGGCGGTACTGGGTCACCGGCCGTACCGGGACACCGGGCGGCACCGGGACACGGGGCGGTACCTGACGGGCGCAATGGCGAACTCGTCGGGGCCGATGAGCTTCCAGGAGCCGGCCAGGAACTCACGGCACCAGGCGTAGGCCTGCAGCCGGGTGGCGGCGGGAACGGCACCGGTACCGGCACCGGCTTCAGCCACGGCCACCGGCACCGGCGCGGCCATCCCAGCGCCGCCGCGCCCCGCCGCCATGGCGCCGCGCCACGCCCCGCCCCCCGGAGCCGTTCGGCGGCTACCCATTGGTCAGCCGGGAGGGGGCGGGGATCCTTCGGACCAATGGGAGGAGGGGGAGGAAGTGACGCGATGAGGCGGCGCCGCGACGCCCCTCGGCGCGGAACAGAAGGCGTGGTTGAGGGGGCGGTGGCGGCGCTCATTGGTCAGCAGAGAGGGGGCGGGGAGGAGGCCGGCCAATGGGAGAGGAAAGCGGAAGTGACGAAATCAGACGGCGCCGCCATGCGCCGCAACGTGGAGCTGAAGGCGCGGCTGCGGGAGGTGGCGGCGGTGCGGGGCGCGGCCGAGCGGCTGAGCGGGGCGGGGGGACGGCTGATGCACCAGGACGATTGCTTCTTCGTCGTGCCGCGCGGGCGGCTCAAGCTGCGGCGCGACGCGGTGCGGGGACCGGGAACGGGACAGGGGACTGGGGCCGGGGTTGGGAATGGGACCGGGACCGGGGACCAGCGCTCGGGGCTGGGGACCAGGGACCAGGGAACGGGGCTGGGAATGAGGAACAGGACCGGGGAACGGGGCTGGGACCGGGGCACAAGGCTGAGGAACGGGACCGGGGCACGGGGCTGGGAACGGGGACCGGGGAACGGGACTGGAACAGGGAAACGGGACCGGGGAACGGGGCTGGGAATGGGACCAGGGAATGGTGCAGGGAATGGGGAACGGGACCGGGGCTGGGAATGGGGAATGGGAACGGGGACCGGGGCTGGGAATGAAGAACAGGACTGGGGACCGGGGCTGGAGCACGGGGCTGGGAATGGAACCGGGGCTGGGACTGGGAATGGGGAATGGGAAATAGGACCGGGGCTGGGACAAGGACACAGAATGGGGAATGGGAAACGGGACCGATGTCCCAGATGTCCCTCTGTCCATCCCCAATCCCGCTCCCCCGGCTCCGCTCCATCATCCCGCGATGGACCTCGATCCCGACCTTCGGTCTTCAGCCCTGTTCCCAGCCCCGGTCCCAGCCCTGTTCCCCAGTCCCGTTCCTATTCCCTGGTCCCCATTCCCTGCCCCAGTTGGAGGACTGGGATTGGGACCATGGTTGTTCTGGAACCCAGGGGTGCCAGAATGTGGGGATGGAACCTGGGGGGTGTTGGGGTGGGAGCCCAGAGGTGTGGAACCAGCAGGACTGGGGGGATGGGGGTGTGGGGATGGGATGTGGGGATGCTGGGTGGGATGGGACACAACAGGGATATGGGGACGGGAGGTTTTGGGGTGCTGGGTATGGGATCCTATGGTTCTTGAACCCAGAGATGTGGGGATGGGAGCTGGGGGGTGACAGGGTGGGAACCCAGGAGTTTGGAACCAGCAGGAGTGGAGGGATGGGGATGTGGGATGGGATCTGGGGGTGCTGGGAGACAACAGGGATATGGGGATGGGAGGTTTTGGGGTGCTGGGTATGGGATCCTGTGGTTCTGGGACCCAGAGATGTGGGGATGGGAGCTGGGGGGTGATAGGGTGGGACACCAGGGGTTTGGAACCAGCAGGACTGGAGGGGCGGGGGTGTGGGATGGGATTTGGGGGTGCTGGGAGGGATGGGATGCAACATGGATATGGGGATGGGAGGTTTTGGGGTGCTGGGATTGGAGGGCTGGGAATGGGAGCCTCTGGTTCTGGAGCTCAGAGGTGCCAGAATGTGGGGATGGGAGCTGGGGGGGTGATGGGGTGGGACCCCAGGGGTGTGGAGC